TTTCTCCTTTACCGTCCTAGAAGTTCATGGCTCTGTGCGGTCTGGTTCATCTGCAGCACAGCAGCTAAGGACGAAACTTAGTTGCCTCCACATTCATTCTGAGCTACTGTCTGGGCTCAATCTCAGTGGCAACTAGTGTCACATTACACGCCTATTTGCCTTTTGTCATTGCCTTTTGTCACCTACCTTCCCCGGCTGGCACTAGGCTGCTCCCTCTTTCCATCCTGCAGAGTCCTGTCCCCTGGGGGCTCTTGGCAACATGAGGTTCCCAGCTGCATGGTGGTAGAGCAGTGACAGCGACTCTTGAGGCCAGTGGACTCAGGTTCCCGGCTCCCTCTTCTCCTTAGTTGCCTGCTCTTTCCTCATTCACTCGACCTCATCCAGCAAATGCTTATTGGCCACCTGCTTGGTGCCAGGCACTGTGTCAGTTGCTGAGGGAATAACAGTGAACCTGCCAGAGCCCTTTCCCTCAAGGAGACCCACGATATCTCCTAGAGTCAGGGCACATTGTGAGACCAACAACTCACCCTGCAGAAATTATAATGGACCTAGTTTTCAAAAGGCAAGAGGACTGAGGCCTCACACTCACTTCTCCCCGGACACATCAATATTTTAGAGTCTCTGGGTTCCTCCAAATATGGACCATGGTGTTACTGCATCAGAGTCCGAGGAAAAACCTGCTTCTTTTGGAAGTCCAGGGTGCGAACATGGATATGAAGGCTGGTGTTTCTAAAAGTGAAACCTGCTAAACAACTGTATCAGAATTGCCTGGGGTGCTTATTAAAAATACACATTCCTGGGCCCCACCCCAGGTGGATGGAATCAGACTCTTTGCCAGGAGAGGCCCAGGAATCTGCATTTCAACACGTTCTTCGGGTTACTTGTATACACGCTGCAGTTTGGGAATCACTGAAGGCTGTTCACTGCCTCTTTTCTGAGAATGATGCATTCATTTGCCAAATATTTATGGATGTTCTAATTTATTGGAGATTTATAAGAGAATGGAGGAGACAACATCCTGTTCTCCCGGAGCTTACAATTTTTATTTTCTTTAGAAGTCACCAGGTTTAAAGTGACATGTCCTTATTGTAAAGAACAGAATTTTTAAACCAGAAGGGACTGTGAGATTTTCTGTTCCTACCTCATATTTTGGGCACATTGGGAAGTGGGGTGGGAGGTGGTGCTGGTGAGGTGTGGTGGGGGGTGACTCGCTCAAGGTCAAAGTGCTGAGCTGGGGCTGGAACTCAGGTCTCTGGACACCTGGGTTCATCATCTCCCACAGCACAGCACCTCATCCTGGAAGGCTTCAGCACATTCTAGATGGGAACTGTTTAGCGTAAAGCCTCTTTTATGTTCCCATGTAAGTTTTATGCTGCATGAGGACACGGTTGTTTCAAAACAAATATCCAAATCCTAGTCTCCAAAGCCTGAAGGAGGCCTCAGAAGGTCAGTGTGGTGCAAAGAGCAGGACTCCGGCCTCACACTGCAGGTCTGAATTCCCACTCTGCCTCTCCCTGTCTGTGTGACCTTAGGCAAATCACTCAACCTCTCTGTTCTATATTTCCCCAGCTGGAAAAGAAGTTAATAATATGTCCGTGATCACAAGGTGGTTGTGAGAATTAAATGAAATGTAATTGATGCTTAATAATTTAATTCTGACCTTCCCCACCCATTTAGAGAGAATTATGTATCAACTTTTAGAAACAATAAAAAAGATGTCTTGATAGTTCAAGGGCTACTGATTCTCCGTGGGCACTGTCTCAGCCGCAGCTCTCCTTTCTGTGCTCTGCCTCGTTTCTGGTTCTCTGTGGCTCTGCCTGAGCCTGGGCAGGTTCTTCATCGGCACACGCCATGCCCACCCCCAGGGCTGTGGCCCCAGCCCCAAGCTGGAGAGACTTAATGAGGCACCTGATGAGGTGCCTGCCCCGGGGCTTATGCACACTTGGCCCTGCAGGTGACAGAGCTGTGACTGACCTCTCACCTTCCGCACCCTCCGTGTGGCCTGTGAAGAGTTAAAGCACCACAGCTCTGTCTCCTGTGGGGTGATATGCCTTGAGACCTTTGCAAACTCCCATCTAAGTTCAAGATCACTCCGTTTCATCTCATTTTTCACTATGATTTTTGTCTCGGGCATAAAACAGCTTTGCAAATCACTTTTTCCCGTTTCTGTAATGAGCATATGGTGGCTTCATCTATGTGATAAATCTGAGCCACCACCATATTTGACTTTTCAGAATTTAATTTATCCGAACCCTCTATTCTCTGGCTTAAAAAAAAAAAATCCCTTTCTTGGATTCCTCCATTTTCTTTCCAGTCCCTTTTCCAGCACTAGCAGACAATATTTGACTTTTCAGAATTTAATTTATCCGAACCCTCTATTCTCTGGCTTAAAAAAAAAAAAAATCCCTTTCTTGGATTCCTCCATTTTCTTTCCAGTCCCTTTTCCAGCACTAGCAGACAGTTCTCTATATTAGTCTTCCAGGGCTGCCTCAACACAGTACCGCAGCCCAGGTGGCTGAAATAACAGAAGTTTATTTCTCACAGTCTTAGAGGCTAGAAGTCCAAGATCAAGGCGCTGGCAGGGGTGGTTTCTCCCGAGGCCTCTCCCCTTGGCTCGTAGACAGCCGTCTTCTCGTTGTATCTTCACATGGTCTCCCCTCTGTGTGTCTGCATCTTAATTTCTTTTTCATATAATACACCAGCTATATTGGACTAGAGCCCACCCATATGATCTCATTTTACCTTAATTACCTATTTAAAGACCATCTCCAAGTACAGTCTCATCCTGAGGTTCTGAGGGTCAGGACTTCAACATGTGAGTTTTGAGGGACACAGTTCAATTCACAACACTCTCTTTTACAACCTTCCCCACCCCCCTAATAAGGGGATAGAACGTCTCACTTCATGGCATGACTTTGAACAGGAAACCAAGGAGAGAAGGACAAAGTTGGCCAAGGAGCAGGGTGGTGCCAGCCTGCAGCACTTTCTAACTTTAATGTGTCTGTAAGTCACAGAGGGAGCTTGTCCAAATGCAGACGCTGAGTCACCAGATGTGAGAAGGACCTGAGATTTTCCATTTCTGACAAGCTCCCAGCAGACGCTGATGATGCTGGTCCACGGACCACACTTAGAGTAGTGAGGAGCTTGATGTTTAACTGCTGAGTGACTTCGACACTCTTGCTGCAGGAAAATTATTAGTTACATTATGAACCTTTGGGGTGCCTTTCAAATAGATAACATTTCTAATATTAAACCTGCTCTGAGAGAGCAGCCAGATTCTGCTCTCTCTATAGCAAGAAACGGGACTCAGCAGCATAAACTCAGCTGTTCAGTTGAATGGGCTGCTCTGAGTGAGCAGTCCTGATTGCCAAAGGGTGCCCTGGCCGCATCTTTACTAACACCCTGCACGAGTCATTTGACTGGACTTTGCAAACTGCTAGCACCACTTAAAGGGGCCCAACCACAGGAGTCACAGGAGGGTTCTGCAGAGGAAAGATGGAAGCCAGGGCATTAGGCAGTCACACATCACTGGGGAAATGCCTCCGGACGCTGGCTGATAATTTGCCTAAACCACTTAGGATTTAGAGCCTTTGAGAGAACTCAAAAATGTAGAGCCTGTCTTTCATTGCTGTGTGCCCAGCTCTCATTCATGAGAACACAAGTTATTCCCAGGCAGCCTGAGGAGAACAGAACAAACCCTCAAATGCCAAAGCACCTTGGAGATTCCACCAGCTTTAGCAGCTCATCTAAACCATCACTTCTAACATAGTCCTGCATTATACACACGGCCACCAGCACGGTTCTTACAGATACTCCTTGAGAGGGACAGCCATAGAGAGGGTCTTAATGAGTTGATGGTGTTCCTAATCCTCAGTCAGAACGCTTGATGGCCAGCAGAACCCGCTGCCCTCGTGGGTTCTTGGAGCTTGATTTTGAAATATGTTCAATGACTAATAGCAGCTAAGACACTTCCATCCTTCATGAGCAGTCAATGGGTAAATGGAGCATTGCTGAGTAAAAGGGGCTATAATTTAAACCCTATGCACCTAGAAGTGGTAACATTTTTTGCAAAATTGGTGTCATCTCTGCTACATCTACAGTTTTCTCTTGCCTTCTTTTCCAGCACCCCTGGCTACATATTTGGGAAGCGTATCATCCTGTTCCTGTTCCTCATGTCCCTTGCTGGTATATCTAATTATTTCCTCGTCCTCTTTTTCGGAAGTGACTTTGAAAACTACATAAAGGCGGTGACCACCACCATCTCCCCTCTGCTTCTCATCCCCTAGCTGTCTGCTGAGCACAGGGCCGGTGCTCTCACCCAATCAATACCTGCAAGTCACCATAACTCAACCCTTTAAAGTACTCTGCTCCTCTTTAGGTAGCTGTAAATCTAATGGCCATCTGGGCCTCACAGCTTGAGCTAACCTTGCTTTTCCAGGAAGAAAATAATTTCGTGTCAGCACCGCCCCTGGAACATGGCATTATGTTACTCAGGTCCATTCCGTATTTCTTGACTTATACCGCTCTCTGAAGATGTTTTGTGATCAGAGTTATGTTTTCCTGAAATAAACTGCAGAGACATATTTTAGGCTGATGGTTGAGTTTTTTTGTGAGTATCTCTCTACAGTTGAATGCTGGTTTGTTTTCCTCAGCCTAAATGATGATAATAAAAAATATGCTATCTGTCCTATGGACAAATAGACTTCCTTAAGGATCTTTTATTGACCATGCACCCTCCTGCACCCTCCCTCCTCCAAACACTGACCATATCATGCAGTTTACAATGTGCTGTAATTCTCTACAAGAACATAAGATAATGCCAGGCNAATGGCCATCTGGGCCTCACAGCTTGAGCTAACCTTGCTTTTCCAGGAAGAAAATAATTTCATGTCAGCACCGCCCCTGGAACATGGCATTATGTTACTCAGGTCCATTCCGTATTTCTTGACTTATACCGCTCTCTGAAGATGTTTTGTGATCAGAGTTATGTTTTCCTGAAATAAACTGCAGAGACATATTTTAGGCTGATGGTTGAGTTTTTTTGTGAGTATCTCTCTACAGTTGAATGCTGGTTTGTTTTCCTCAGCCTAAATGATGATAATAAAAAATATGCTATCTGTCCTATGGACAAATAGACTTCCTTAAGGATCTTTTATTGACCGTGCACCCTCCTGCACCCTCCCTCCTCCAAACACTGACCAACCATATCATGCAGTTTACAATGTGCTGTAATTCTCTACAAGAACATAAGATAATGCCAGGCCCATTGTAGGTGCCCCCAAATATTGGTTGAGCAAATGAATGAATGAATGAATGAGTTCATGAGTTGCTGGATGGCTATATTTAATGAAATATATGTGTTGAGCCATTTCTCATATTGTGGAAATGTTTGTAGTGATCCAGCTACTGTCACAGCAGGTGCCACTTGGCACCAACAACACAATTTGGAAGATGGGGTATAGTCAAGAGTCAGGACACTCAACGGAGAAAAGCTAGCTCTTATAGGAGAGTCAAACTTATCAGCACTGAACTCCCAATTAGGGTAACCAGCGATAGATGAGTCCCCTTATCCCCTAGGTGGGTATCATGATGATCACAATCTTAAGCAGGACTTGAAACCTCCTCCAGCTCTCCCCAGCTTGCCCACTTGGGAAGTGGAGCTGATGGAACATGGAGTCTGGTGAGGTGTGAAGTCTGGATCAGTGTGCCTCATGTGTGATGGTCAAGGCAAGAGGGTGTCTCAGTTCAAGGGAAAGGCCCCATATGGACCTGGCCTCCAGGCCTGTCTGGTGGTCTGGGCTGAAGTCCCTCCTGGGCTTGCACTGCCAGGCTCCTCCAGCAGGAGCTTCTTGGCACCGATCACTTCAGGACAGCCGCTTCTGCTCTCGGCTCTGTCTAGACAGCAGGGCATTTCTTTTCTTCTTGGTGATAGGAAACGTGTCAGCACCGCCCCTGGAACATGGCATTATGTTACTCAGGTCCATTCCGTATTTCTTGACTTATACCGCTCTCTGAAGATGTTTTGTGATCCGAGTTATGTTTTCCTGAAATAAACTGCAGAGACATATTTTAGGCTGATGGTTGAGTTTTTTGTGAGTATCTCTCTACAGTTGAATGCTGGTTTGTTTTCCTCAGCCTAAATGATGATAATAAAAAATATGCTATCTGTCCTATGGACAAATAGACTTCCTTAAGGATCTTTTATTGACCGTGCACCCTCCTGCACCCTCCCTCCTCCAAACACTGACCATATCATGCAGTTTACAATGTGCTGTAATTCTCTACAAGAACATAAGATAATGCCAGGCCCATTGTAGGTGCCCCCAAATATTGGTTGAGCAAATGAATGAATGAATGAATGAGTTCATGAGTTGCTGGATGGCTATATTTAATGAAATATATGTGTTGAGCCATTTCTCATATTGTGGAAATGTTTGTAGTGATCCAGCTACTGTCACAGCAGGTGCCACTTGGCACAAACAGCACAATTTGGAAGATGGGGTGTAGTCAAGAGTCAGGACACTCAACGGAGAAAAGCTAGCTCTTATAGGAGAGTCAAACTCATCAGCACTGAACTCCCAATTAGGGTAACCAGCGATAGATGAGTCCCCTTATCCCCCAGGTGGGTATCATGATGATCACAATCTTAAGCAGGACTTGAAACCTCCTCCAGCTCTCCCCAGCTTGCCCACTTGGGAAGTGGAGCTGATGGAACGTGGAGTCTGGTGAGGTGTGAAGTCTGGATCAGTGTGCCTCATGTGTGATGGTCAAGGCAAGAGGGTGTCTCAGTTCAAGGGAAAGGCCCCATGTGGACCTGGCCTCCAGGCCTGTCTGGTGGTCTGGGCTGAAGTCCCTCCTAGGCTTGCACTGGCTCCTCCAGCAGGAGCTTCTTGGCACCGATCACTTCAGGACAGCTGCTTCTGCTCTCGGCTCTGTCTAGACAGCAGGGCATTTCTTTTCTTCTTGGTGATAGGAAACACATGGCAAGTTGCAGAGTGGAAGTGGCCCCTAAACCTGCTCATACCTGGGCTTGGTTTGGAGGGCGGTAGGGTGATTGATCATCCCAATTTGCCCAGGACATAGGGGTTTCCTGGGATGTGGGACTTTCAGTTTTAAAACTGGGATAGTCCCGGGAAACCAAGATGAATCAGTTACCCTGAGGGTGGACTGGGCCAGAATATGTCCAGTAGAGCCTGGGGACACCTGAGTCCCCAGAGGCCATGCTGTCCAACCTGGCCATGGGGACTGCAGGGGGCAGGGAGAGAAGATGATGTGCTGGACCATCAGAGGCTCTCTGTGGCGCAGCCTGGGGGAGTGTGCACAGCTGAGAGCATTAAGGAGGGGGTGGAGCGTGCTTCCTAATTACGTAGAGGAGGGTGTCAGTTCAGGACTCCTGACTCAGGGATCCCTTCTCTAATCGGAAGTGGCTTTGTGTAGTGGTAGACTGTCTGTCTTCAGAGTTCTAGATGTATGGCTGGATCTCTGCACCATCCCACCCTCAGTTCTGTGACTTCTCCCTAAGCCTCAGTTTTTGCATGTGTTAAACTGGGATAATAATAACACCAAACTCATGGGGTTTGGGGGAGGAATAATGAGGTAAAACAACTGAAAATGTTCAGCGCATATACCGACTGAAAGCTAGCTATTGTTACGATCTTATGGTGCTAGTTTTCTATGGCTACAAAACAAATTCCCATAAACTGGGGCCTCAAAACAATACACATTTATCATCTTACAGTGTCCATGAGTCAGAGGCCCTGATCTTATGGTGCTAATTTTCTATGGCTACAAAACAAATTCCCGTAAACTGGGGCCTCAAAACAATACACATTTATCATCTTACAGTGTCCATGAGTCAGAGGCCCTCAGGGCTTGGCTGGATCATCTGCTCGCTGTCTTACTAGGCTGTGATCAAGATGTCTCGAGGCTTGGATTCTTTTCCAGGCTCGCTGGTCATGAGCACAATTCAGTTGTAGGACTAAAGCCTACAGCCTTCTGCTCCTAGAAGTCCTTTCCCTGACACAGCTTTCTCTTCAGCATGGCAGTTTGTGTCTTTAAGGCCTGCAGGAGAACTTCACTGGTGCTTTTTCTTTATGACCTTTATACCCCCTTTCAAGGGACTCACCTGATTAGGCCAGGCCCACTCAGGGCAAGCTCCTTTCTGATGAACTTAAAGTCAACTGATCAGGGGCCTTCATGACAGCTGCAAAATCCCTTCACCTTTACCTTATAATGTAACTTGTCACCACCTGAAATTAGATCATTTATTTACCCCTTTACTTTTTTTTAATTGTCTGTCTCCCCCTCTAGAACGTAATCCCAAAGGGCAGAGGTTTTGCCTATGTTGTTATGCTTGGCATATAATCAGTGCTCAACAAACATTTGATGAATGTCTGAAAGAAAGGGCTGGGGTGTATGATGCATCTACTCGTTATTAAGACCATGTGGTGGGTCTTATGGTGGTTGTGGTGGTGATGGCTGCGGGGCTATAAGCAAATTTGGGACAGAAAGCCTAACGGATGTTCTCAGAGTTTAGTAAGCAAAGCATCAGCTATGGAACGTGTTTTAAAAAATGTAAATCCCTTCGTGCCATCCGCAGAGATAAGATCTGGTAAGTCGGGGATAGGGCCTAGGAATTCACATTCGTATTAGGGTTTTTCTCGATGCAGGTGCTTGCAAACCACCCTTTCAGGAGATTTTTGTTCTAGAGCAGCACCAGCCAATACATTGGCTGCTAGAAACACATGGCCCCTGAGCCCTTGGTATGTGGCTTCTCTGAACTGAGATGTGCTGTAAAACGCACACTGGGTTTTGAAGACTTAAGATAAAAAAAAGAAATGCAAAATATCTCATTAATAATGTTTTTATATTGATTACACATTGAAATGGTAATCTTGTGGATATATTGAGTTAAATATAATGTATTATTAGAATTAATTTTGTGTGTTTCTTTGTACTTTTTCTTTTTGGCGGCTGGCTTGTACAGAGATCTGAACCCTTGACCTCGGCTAACCAGCTGAAATAACCAGCCAGCCTCTTTGTAGTTTTCTCAATGTGGCTACCAGAAAATTTTTTTTTTCCTTTTTGTCTTTTTTCGTGACCGGTAACGGGATCGCAACCCTCGGTNCTCAACCAGTGAGCGGACCGGTCTCTATATGGGATCCGAACCCTCGGTGGGAGCGCTGCTGGGCTCCCAAGCGCCACACTCTACTGAGTGTGCCACCGGGCCGGCCCTACCAGAAAATCTTAAATGACGTATACAGCTTGCATTACATTCCTATTGGACAAGGCTAATCTCTAAATTCCACGGGAGCTGGCAAGACCTCACAGCTGAAATATAGGCTGGACCTCCCTCTCAGCCCTCATCTTTAGCTATGATTTCTTGCAGACAACATTGCAAAATGTGCCAATGAAAGTTACCACAAGCAACAAACTGGCTCTGCCTAAATCCGGAAAATAGTTCTTTGAAGCTTGTTACCGTATGATCTTGAGAGTGTTTCATTAAGTATTTCTGATCACAGATGTGGCACATTATTAAAATATCATCTTTATGGTCACCCTAGAGGCTAGGGTTATCTGAATA